TTTCTTAAAAACACATAAAATCGTATTATAACATCGACATAGATAAATAATAAAATAGAACATTAAAATCGAGATTGCACGAGTACTCTTCTAGTTTTTTTAAATCAACCAGTCATTGGCCTTTCTGATATTCGTTAGATAATCCTTGAACATTTGAAAACCTATTAAATATATCCTATTAATTAAAAATGTACCATACAACCTCTATAGGAGGTAAAACTACAAACCAAAAAACCCTTAAAAACTATCAGAGTAGTCCCCCTATTCCACTCTCCCCTTACGGTCGTTTCAGATTTAAATAACATTTTATTTTTAACTACTACTAATTACGTTATATATTCATCATTATTGACATCATCAAGTGAGATTGTTGTTGAACTTCAAAAAGAGTTACAAGAAAGTCAAGTTGATGTATCTCAACCAAAAATAGATTAGAGATGCAAGTGAAGAATAGTTCATGAAATGACCTTCAATTTAATATAGATTAGACATTATTTGGGCGCAACTTTTGATACATATTTTGACAATGCTACTTTTAGTATATTTTGGCACAAAATTTGGTGCATATTTTGTCGCAAGTTTTGGTAATTTTGGTGCAATTTTTGTAGATTTTGGCCCAATTTCTATAGATGTATTTATTTATGTTTTAGGTACAACTTTTGTAAGTTTTGAAATTACTAATGATTTTATAAATGTAAAATTTTATACGTCATAAAAATGTATGTAACATGTTTTCAAAAGTCCAAAGATTTATTAAACAAGTTTCAGAAAGTCTAATGACTTATTTACTTACAAAAATTGTCCAAAAATTTAATCATCTTAAACAGGATAGTCCGTTGGATTTTTTGTTGGACTTTTCCCTTGTAACAAAATTATACCAAATTGATATTGTTTTTTTATTAAAAATTAGAAGAGTAAACTATGTTTTCGTACCTATAGTTTGTTGTAGATTGTTATTTTCTTCTTTCTATTTTGAAATTAAGTTTTCATTCTTACGGTTTACAATTTGTATTTTTTTCCGTTCTTATCGTTTATAATTTATTATATTTTTCATCCTTAAGATTTATAATTTATTGTTATTTTCATCCCTAATACTTACCCAAATGTTTACCGATCCCTCACTTGCCTTGCCATATAAGACTTTAATATATTAAAACAACATTGTATGCAACAATTTATCGGGTCTTCATTTAACGAAAAAGACTCTCGACCCTTGTTATTGTTCTTACCAGGTAAGATTTTCGGTCGTTGTCATATTCATCTGACAGGGTAAAAAGGACCCAGTAAGCACTTGTCAGATAAGTGTTTATTAAATGGTCCCTTGAATTACCCTGGAGATGAAGAATTACAAACCACAAGGACTAAACCCATAACTTTAAAGTAAGAACGAAATTTGCAATTCTAAATAAACCACAGGGACTAAAATCGTAGATTTTGTTAACTGAAACAAAGTACAAACTTCCCCCCGGGAAATGGCCATGTTGACCCATCACCGACACTAGAGCCGGACTCCCCAACTCGATTCTTCTCTCATTCGTCTCATCTGCCTGTTGAGATGAAATTGTTACCATGCGATTAGATCATTACAACAGTTTCCGCTGATTAGCTCTAATCAATCGATCAATCAACCAACACGCATTTGAGATTTGATTTTTAGGGCTTGATTCTGGTTGTTCAAGGCAGATCGATCCATAAGTTGCTAAGGCAATGCCACCGCAGAAAGCTTCTAGAACCATCTCCTCCTTGTTCGGACTCGGCAAAATAGAAACTGGGAAAACTGACGTGCATGTGCCTTTGCCTGTGCAGCCTTCGCTGAAGTTGGAGGCTGATAAGAAAGTATATAGGCCAGGGGATCCTGTTACAATTACTATTGAGATCCGAAATCCTCCTGCTGGGTGTTCGTTGTTAGTTGACAGACTAAGTTTTGAAGCCCAAGGCATTGAGAAGTTGGACACTCAGTGGTTTAGCACCCACAAACCACTACCTGACTCTAATCAGAAGAAGAGAGGTTTGCATTCCCAATTTCCATAATTCTGAAGTTTTTGTTTTCTGCATTTACCAAGAATGAAGTATGGTTTCTTTCTTTAGCAGCCATGCTAATTGCTAAATTGCTTGCCATTTTCATTTCTGATTGGTCCGTGAAAGTTATGTTCTGTTAATTGAATATTTTTAAGCAGAGTTTACATATTTGCCGATTGTCATGGTTGATGCTAATGCTTTTGGTTACAAAATCTCTCTCCATAGTGGAACCTGTTTTAACAGAGCGTGTTGAATCAAAAGTTGCATCAAACATGTTATTACTCCAATAATTATCATTTTTACTTTCTCTAAACCAGCAAGTTACTTTTCAACCTTCAACATGTTTTGGAGTTTAGGCTTGGCAGAAAAGTGGATAACTGCATCAAACTTGGTAACTATGGTACAAATAGAACTAAGTTTTTTTTTTGATTAACCTGGATATCCAACCCGCTATGCTAGCCGACTAATCCCAGGGCGACCATCTGCTTTGCAGATAGTCCGGAGTCATCGCATTTGAACCTCCATGGCCACAAGGGGATTTTTATTCCTCCTTGGATTTTAACCTGAGAAAATGTATAGTCAATTAAAGTGAAAATAGTCTAAATGGGTCTTTTTATTTAAACAAACGTAGTATGTATTTTTCAGGCACCGATCTACATGAATATAAATGATTATACCTTTATGTACAAACTCTTTCCAGGTGAATATGTTTTCATGGAGTCTTCGGTGCCATTAATGGTTTCAAATCAGATTGTGTCATCAGGGACCATGAGAACATGTAAGGCGAATCTCTGTCTTTTCAGCATCGCTCTCTGTAACATGTAATATTATTGACTTCTAGGGAGTTTCTGGATCTTATTGCTGGTATGCTACTTGGTTCTGTGAGTAATCTTTAATTATCTACTAAATGTCTAAGCATATCGTGCTTGCCCCCTTTGGCTTTCAAGCAATGTACTGCTTTCCAGGTATTCGTGGCGAATATGATTGGTTCAAGCACTTCTGGATCGAGCATTAAAACTTGGACACTTATTTTTAGTGGAAAGCAAAATTGCTGATTGGCCTTTTGTTGACAGTTTTAGTTTATTCGTTCAAGGAGCTAATATAGTAGATATTGGTCTATATTGCTTCATGCCTTCATCCCTCTAGTATCCTGTCAATGACAAACAAACACACAAACATGCACATGCTGTGATACATATCGTGCTAGTAGAACCCTAGATTTTTGAATGAATAAATTGAAATGGAACTTATTGGATGGGTAAGATTTACGGGTGTACTTAGCTGTATGCCATGCCTACCACATAAAGAAAATAAAGACTCAATTCGTAGGTGAAGTTTCATTAGATGCGCTAGGGAAGGGTGTTCCAAATGCCTATAAATATCTTGAATACTTGTCTCACTCAAATATAAGGAGGGTGAACTAACATCCAACAATAGAGTCTCACGACCCATCATTATTGTTCGAGAAGTGCAAGCTTTTGAAAGACACGATGATTTGGAAATAAAGCCACTAAGCAATTGAAATCCTTAATGTTTTTGAACAAATAAAATTATCGGGAAAAAACGACATATAATGGATATTCTTAAGATTATTGTTAGGAAATTATATTGAACCCTGCCTCCTACCGGGATTATGAAAACATCAACAACTTTATCGGGAAGGTGTGTAGGAGACAATTTATACAATATATCCTTAGTCTCTGTCATATGGTTTGGAACACTATAATCAATAATCCAAGATGAGGAAAATGCCTCAACTTAAGTAGATAAACTTGACTATGCCATGGATACACGAGGAGCAACTTGCTCCTTAGATGAATAGTACGATAGTATCAAGTTGAGTCCATCCTCACTAAGTTTGGAGTTTGAGGTAGAACTAGAATGCGCTTCTTTAACTGAACCATGTTGTAACTAAGGGTATGTTGACTTTAGATGACCACGTTTTTTGGGAGTAACCACACCGAATCTTTACCTTTATTCAGTGCTCCTTCCCCTGGCATTAGTATCATGTAAGAATCCGCATCCAAATACATCTGTCACACATGTCTTCTCCTCTAGATAGCCTGCCAAATCACCCACCTCTTCTACCATAGCATGCTCTGTCCATCTCCCTGATGCAACCAGCACCGAGGATTTTGATGTATCACTAGATGAGGGGAGCTCGGTAAGCATCTCTCTATGGAGAGAAAATGTGGAATAAACAATTATGATCTCATAAGCATGGGACGCATAGAATCATGTTTAGACAAGAAGCCACCAATGAGAGTCAACAATGAAGCTTATCTTGTTGTTGCCTCAGAATATGGGGGTCTGAATTTAATGGAAAGCCCTCTTCAAGCTCATCAACGAGCTTTTTAAAGTGTGTATATTACGGAGACAGAGGTGTGAATCCCTTGGGAGCAATGTGAATCTGTCTGAGAAACAGCATATACATGTGACAGGCTGTGGAGCCCGAATGGGTGGCCAACAAGATGATCCCATAGTGCTTTAGCTGTCTCAAATGTCACGGCAATGCTATTGATCTCAGGCTCCATGGCACCACATGAGGAATAAACGATATTATCGTCATCAATTTCCCATATGAAGTAACATAGTGGGCTGGATCTTTGTCAAGTCGCTAAGTTGAGATCATAACTTGACCATCTACTTCAATTTTTATGATCCAAAATCAATTTTGTTGATTACTATTGTCATAAAATGCAACTAGACTGTCTGAATCATGTAACTATTAACACGAGAACACCAAATGCATCACAGGCACTACAAAAGCAGAGAAATTCGCTATTGGAGAAAAGCACTAGAAATCTCATGGCTGAACCATAGAGAATCACTACCAACAGCACCAATATAGCAAGAAAATTGTGAATAACAGCTGACGGATCGCAAAAAAACTGACATACTTGATTACTAGAGGTTCGGTCTCCATTCAACACTCAGAAATTACAACAGAGCAACTGCTTTGGGCCATTTTACAGAAAATGTGATTTAACCTGGGCTTCTGTCTAGAATTCTAGATCAAATTGACACAGTTAGGTCATAGGTGTTTAGTCAGCAGGTCGGATTTAGGATGCAATTTAAGGTTTCAGGTTCAGAAGATGATGATGACTGCTATGTATGGTGGTGGTGATTCAAAGTAAGGTTTGGATTTTGGTTTTAAGGTTTGAATGATGGTGATGACAGCAATGGATGGTGGGAGGTGGCGGCTGAATGGTGGCGATGCCTGTCAGATTTGCGGTGGCGCAATTGGGTCTTTTTTTGGCTAATACTGTACACAGAAGTGACACTATGCTGTTGAGAGTTGTAAGCAGCAGTAAAATCTTTTATAGTTGTATGATGACAAATAGTAGTGCGCAATAATTGTGACCCAATGCAAGTACAATGACAAATCTTTTGTTCCCATCAGCTTTGGTTTGTTTGTTCTTGCAAGCACCATTGGCTTTTGGTGTTTTGCTTCAAATGTCAAATGATGTCGATCTTACAAGAACAAAGTTTATGTTATAGACGCTGAAGCAAATTTTACTAACTAGTCCTGTGGCAATGCTAACATGGGTGGTAAAAGAATACCTCAACGAATTCGTATACTTCATCCTATGTTAGTTTATGTTCTCTTTTGTTTTAAGACTTCATGATATCTATAGAGTTTATTTGTTATCCTTCTTGTTGTTTATATCTTTGGTTTTCGTTAATATGTTTTAACAAATCCTTACTATGAATATGTTATATCCAGATATACTGAGGATCATTTTGCCAACAATCATACCTCCATCATACAGGGGCTCTACTGTGCGCTATCTGTATCATGTTAGAAGTGAAATGTCTGCGAAATATCTAAAAATGAATGATGGACAGCCATGTGGAGGATCAACCCAGGTCTTTGATCTTGTTTGTCTTTTCAGCTTAATAGTTATTTATTATTCCTCTTTTTTTTTTTTTTTCGTAAGTTTCCCTCTATATGCAATTTGCACTTAGTTTTGGTTGGCTATTTGAATGACATGTTTCTGAAATCCTTGTTGGGAAGGATAATTATCATGATCCCATCAGAAACTCCTTGTCAACAACAAAACAATGGCAGACATTGCATGCTTGTACTTGCATTGGGTCACAACCTATTGACTAAACATTCTTGAAAGCAACGGATTCTAGACACATACTTGATCTAGAAGCAATGCTGTACAGCAATTGTCAGTCGCAGGACTGAACTATGAAGGTTTCAAGCCATGAACATCCGACCAGCCAATAGAAGACTTTATCATGAGTGAATCAACAGGAGAGACAAGTGAGGAACAATCAACTGTGTAGGAGTGGGGGACCAAAGGGGTGCTCATGGGTTGGGTTGATCGGGTTGAAGGCATTTGAACAACCCAACCCAATGCTTGCGGTTTGAAAAATCTCAACCCAAGCCAACCCAAACCAAAGTGCAAACCAACCCAACCCAACCCAAACCGTATGGGTTGGTTGGATTGATACTTTGGTACATCAAGATATTCTCCTAACCTTGAATATGTTGTTTTCTCTAGTC